TTCAGGGTTGGGGGTCAGCTATGCAGGGTACATTATTTAGCGGTTGGATACCGTTTCCTTTTGGGTGGGATGAGTGTCCTATCATCCATAGAGCATTTATCAGCCATCCGAATAACGATATTTGGCCATATGGGCCTATGGTACACTGAGAAAGTGAGGGAGGGAGGAGGAGCACATGGATCTGGGCCCTGTCTTAGATGTATACATGGTCTATATTGTCTAAAGAATACCTGGATAAGGTAGATATACTCTTGGGTGAATTCATCATGGAGCTAAACCAATTAGAATGTCCCTCTGTGAGTATAGGGACAGGGAGGGGTGTTTCTGGGCCACAGTGCCACTGGATATTATTATAGGCAGAATATAGACTATTTTTAGCTCATGTGACTTCATGATAAATTATATAAAACATATAGGAAGAGATTGAAAGACTTGTATGGCTGTTAAATATACATACAAGTTGTATAGAACATGTTCTATGAGGATGAGCAGGAAAACAGGGCATATTTTGACCATATTTCGCCAAATTACAGTGTAATGTTCTGGAAATTGGTATGAGCACTGGTGCAACATATTAGAACATTTCTAGGTACATGGATTGGCATAGACCTGTATCCCAATGATTTGGGAGGCCTCAAAACTCGTCTGAGAGCTGGAATATCATCTATTGGCGTGCCCCAGTTCAGATCCAAAACATGGTGAGACACCTCAGAAAAACACCCAAAACATAATATATTTGTCTCTGGCTATGTATATAGGCTGGTCTATGCCAATCCATGTACCTAGAAATGTTCTAATATGTTGCACCAGTGCTCATACCAATTTCCAGAACATTATAGGTGGTCAAGGTAAAAGGGGGGTGGTTGACCGCGGTCAATGGGCGTTCAGCGCGTGTTCTCTTCTTTTGTCTCTCTATGGCCTTTGTCTCGTTCTGTACTATATAGATCGTCTGTGAGCCCTGAGAGTCAGCACCACTGTTCTCACTCGGGACTCGTAGCCATACAGTACTATACTCGACGTACTCGACTCGATTTCCTTTTTAGTGCATGACCACGTGGCCACACATCAACGGACGATTTGTAAGCCAGGAAGCCTTCGAGCGCCACTCACTCTCACTCGCTTGCTCTACTCCTCTCCCTTCGTCGCCTCCATCCCCTCTTGTCGAGCTCTCCCTGCAGCAGGATCCCATCATGTCCGGCAACAACACTCCCAACAATAGCTCACCTGCTCCCTTCGATATGACTGCTTTTGCAGCCGCTATTACCACTGCCTTTGTTCAGGCTCAGTCTCAGTCTCAGCAGTCATCCCCTCCGGCTACAAACCCCTCTGGCACAGCTGGCCCTGTGCCCACATCTGTTCTATCTGGCTTCACTCCCCCGTAGACGCTCAATGCCGCTGCTAGTATGTCGAGTCCACCACCCTCTATTCTCTTCAAGTTCCCACATGTTGAGCCCGTCATCCTTTCTGCTATCCTTTTTCATGAGTTTCGCCCTGCCGACTTGTGGAAGCTGGACCCCAAGCATCGCAACCGCCCAGAGAGGCGTATTCTCTCTGTAAAGGATACCCAGATTGAGATGTAGGCTGGAGAGGTCGAATATCAGTCTGCCAACTCCGACATTGTCCCAATGCAGATTTATTTCTCCGTACTGCTTGCTGCGTACACCCAGTCTGGGGCTACTGCCACATCTGTTTCCGAACTCGCTATCGACTTCCACTCCTACACCGCTCACCTTCTCACCTTCGCTGCCGAGTACCGGTGGAAGGCTGTCCTCCAGTATCACACAGACTATTAGGAATGGCCGGTTATGGACAATTCATTTTCTTTTTTCTTTCGTATGTCTCGCCACTCTCGCCACACTCATTTCTTTTTCCTTTTTTACTTTTCTTTTCCTTTTCCTTTTCCCAACCATTTATCATCCCCTTACGAATCCCTCATGACATCACGACCCTTATGACACACCCACGATATCCCTACGATGACTCTTATGATTACGCGTCCCCCACGGACTCCCGGACTCCTGGTACGCGTCACCCCTAGCTTACGCGTCCCTTTCCTTTTCCATCCATTACCTTTCCTCCTCTACGATGCGGCTCCCCTCCACTCTCCTTCATCATCGACGCGCAGCCCTTCGTCATCCCCATCCATTCGTTCTTACGGACTATGACTCGATACGCATACGCGTCACCCCTAGCTTACGCGTCCCCTTCGTCATGGCTTACGCGTCCCTCTCAGCTTGGGTATATAGGTAGAGTAGTCTGCATGTACATACCCCAGCTTCGAGATCGTCAACTCCTGGACGAACAACTCAGAACAGAGGCTCATCCTCTTCACCCTCACGTCTTCACGTCGCTGCTAGCGTAGTCAGCTAGTCCTTCGATCTCGCGCTGGGCAACCTTCCGGGTGAATCTTAAGGTAACCAGGCCCGACGTTTACGGAAGCCACTGCCTCGGAGCTCTCGATCGTCCCCGTCGGTACGCTAGTGTGTTGAGCTAGCGCGCGGACACCCCACCCGCTCTTTGAGAGAACCCCACGTTGCCAGGGAGGCTTACCCAGGATTGGGCGTCATCTCGTCCGGCCGTGACACAGACTTCTGGAACGTTCGTCGTCGTTCAATGTAGCGAGGTGTTTACTCTGGCTGGGGTGAGCAGGATTATGCCATTCACAGTGATCACCTGCTTGGCAATCATCGCGTTGAGAGCCAGTCCACCAATAAACCTTCCACTCCAGCATCTTCTTCCACTCGAAGGGAGAAGACCCCGGCGGCTTAGAGTAGCAACATTTGCTACAAGTTCAATGTTGGGCAGTGCACTGGTGACAAGTGTCCTAATGGTTGTGAGCATGCTTGCATGTTTTCGGGGTGCAACGGTTCCCATTCTCGGTACAATCACAAGTAGGAAGCTGGGCCAGCAGGCCTATCTTCACAGGTGCCTGCTGCGCCCTGTCATCCTTTCGGCTCCCTACCTGTTCTGGTTCCACGTTCTTCAGACTCTCCACTGCTACAATCACCTCTCTCTACCTCGTCACCACTCCCAATCCCTCCCTCTCGTCCTAATACTCAGCCTCGTGCAAATGATCCAGCTCTACAGCCCAGCGATCGTCCCCATGTCTTTTCTACTTTACGGGAGGACAGTTGGGCTTCATATCTTTCCGAATATCCCGATAGACAGTTTGTGCAGACTTTAATTGATATTATTTGTCATGGTGCAAATATCGGGTATCAGGGTGATCGTGAACACTCCCAAACATGCTCCAATCTGAAGTCTGCTCTTGAGCATCCTGACACGATTACCTCTGACATCACTAAACAAGTCCTCCAAGGGCGTATTCATGGTCCATTTGACACTCCACCTCTTTTCCGTACTTCCGTTGTTTGCTACTTGGTGCAGTAACCCGGAAATGCTCATCCAAAGTTCGCCGTATCCATCATCTGTCATGGCCATATGGCTCCTCCATCAACAACGGCATTCCAGACAGTGAAGCACAGATCTCGTATGATCTCTTCCAGACAGCTATTGACGACCTGAAAGCCTCTGGTCAAGGCTCACGCATGGTCAAGCTAGACTTGGAATCTGCCTTTCGACACATCCCCGTCCGCCCTGCAGATTGGCATCTGCTGGGTTTTAATTGGATGTCCAAGTTCTACTTTGACGTAGTCCTAGCCTTCGGTCTGCGATCTGCCCCATACATATTCAACTTATTCTCTGAGGCACTTCATTGGATCATCTCACGCCATATCCCAGCTCATATTCGCCACTACCTCGATGACTTCCTCGCTATTTTCCGTCCTTCCACTCCTCTCGAGACCGTTCAGGCCGCCATGAAGTGGATGCTTGCACTAGGCGAGGCTTTAGGGCTTAGCTTTCAGAAGGAGAAGATTGATGGGCCAGCAACAGAGATCGAGTTTCTTGGACTTGAGCTCGATTCCATGGCAATGGAGGCTCGTCTACCACAGGCGAAGCTAGACATCCTTCGAGACCTTCTTTCCTCATGGAAAAACAAGTCTCACTCTTCATTGACTGAGTTGCAAGAGCTCACTGGATACCTTCAGTTCGTCTCCCAGGTTATCCCAGCCTCTAGAGCATTTCTTCATCATGCATTTCACTTCATGACTTCCGTCTCTTCTGCATTCTCTCACCGACATATTCCCAAGGCACTGCATCGCGATATGGAATGGTGGAGTAGTACGGCACTGCATTGGAATGATGTTCGTCTCATCTCACCTTCCAGAGAGTCGGTTCACGTCTACACCGATGCTAGTGGTACGAAGGGAATTGGTGGTGTCTTTGGCTCCCACTGGTTTTCTTCTCGCATCCCTCGTCAGTTGAGCAAGCGAGACATCCAGTTCAAAGAACTATTTGCTGTCATCTATGCGATTGAATGCTGGGGAGATATTTTCAGCAGGATGCACGTCATTTTCCATATCGACAATCAGGCAGTTGCGCATGCGATTCAGTCACTTTCAAACCGCTCAACACCGGTTATGGAGTTGTTGCGTTGGTTCCTAGGGTTGGCGGCGGGCTTCGACTTCACATTCTCATCTCATTGGCTTGCATCTGAAGATAATCCCCTTGCTGACTCTGCATCTCGCTTTCAATTTACCTGACTATTCCAACTCGCCCCATATCTCAATCGCCAGCCAACTTACCGCCGCCTCCGGCATCATGGTATGCACGATACCCCCAATGGTCACCATCCGTTGCATTTTACCTTTGGCATGGCATCGCGTCCAGTACCCGGTCTTCCTACACCACAGGTCAAAAAATCCTTCATTGACTTCTGTCAACTCAACAACTACCTCAATCCGGATGGCTGTCCCCTCCCAGCATCCCAGTCTGCGATCATGTCCTGGGCTGTGCACATAGCCGGCAGAGTCAAGGCCAAGACGATCAAGCAATACCTCTGTCATATCCGCTCCATGCATACAGATGCTGACCTCCTCTTTGATGCTACTGAATCCCCAATCGTGCAGCGACTCATTCGTGGAATCAAGCGTTACCATCCCGATCCAGGGTGACAGCCTAAACAACCCATCACTCTCCCCATCCTCCGTCGTCTCCAATTGCATCTCATAGATAACCCACTCATCTCAGCAGCCTGTAACCTCGCTTACGCAGGCCTACTCCGATGCGGCAAGTTCACCACCCGAGACAAGCAGAAATTTGACCCCTCCATTCATTCTACGCGCGGAAGCATCAAGTTTTTCCCCAACTTTGAGGAAGCCACCCATGCCAAACTCATCCTTCCTGCATCTAAAACCGACCCCTTCCGGAAAGGTGTCACCATTCTCATTGCCGCTGCTCCCGGTCAACTCACTTGCCCCATCGCCTCCCTTAAGCGATGTTTTCTCTTCAACCCTCAACCAGAAACTGCCCCTCTTTTCTCTACTTCCGATGGGGAAGCACTCACTTGAGGCTTCTTCCTCGAGAGTGTCAACAGGACCCTCATTGCAGCTGGCCTCAATCCCTCATTATTTGGCGGACACAGCTTCCGGCGCGGAGCAGCCTCTTCAGCAGCATCCGCAGGTTACTCGGACTATTAGATCCAGCTGCTAGGACGCTGGAGGAGCGATTCTTTCAAGCTGTATCTAGAGCTCGACGAAACTGCTCTTCTACATCTCAATCGTTCACTTCATTTGGCCGAGTCTCAGCCTCAGATCGTCCCTTTCGAACCTCTGGTTCTTTGAGGCTACCCTGTCTTGGCCTGAGTCTGCGCCTCGTGATAGCATTTGGGACACCTCATGCTAGCACTGGGGCCATTCTCTCGGCGCTTCGGGACCCGAATCCATACCTGATTCCGCCGCATTCCCAGGACACACTTGTCCATGTCCGACACTGTTCAAATAAGCCCTCTTCCATCGGCGAACATCTGATTCCCTTGTCTCCCTCACTCTCAGTTTCCGCAAGTCCTCAAACTTGCACTCACGGACTTAGCAAGATTGACACTGTAATTTGGCGAAATATGGTCAAAATATGCCCTGTTTTCCTGCTCATCCTCATAGAACATGTTCTATACAACTTTTATGTGTATTTAACAGCCATACAAGTCTTTCAATCTCTTCCTATATGTTTTATATAATTTATCATGAAGTCACATGAGCTAAAAATAGTCTATATTCTGCCTATAATAATATCCAGTGGCACTGTGGCCCAGAAACACCCCTCCCTGTCCCTATACTCACAGAGGGACATTCTAATTGGTTTAGCTCCATGATGAATTCACCCAAGAGTATATCTACCTTATCCAGGTATTCTTTAGACAATATAGACCATGTATACATCTAAGACAGGGCCCAGATCCATGTGCTCCTCCTCCCTCCCTCACTTTCTCAGTGTACCATAGGCCCATATGGCCAAATATCGTTATTCGGATGGCTGATAAATGCTCTATGGATGATAGGACACTCATCCCACCCAAAAGGAAACGGTATCCAACCGCTAAATAATGTACCCTGCATAGCTGACCCCCAACCCTGAATATCTCCCCACTTGTTTTTGCCATATCTTGGGAACAC